GAGGAGGAAGAAGCAATGTGCATATAATCGCATGAATCAGGAGGAAAGGCTCTTTGAAAGATGAGGTGCAGGTTGGGAAAAACCCAGATTTCATGGCCAGGAGTTTGGCAGGTGGGACTGAGCCATCTTCCCCAGACAAGAGGTGTTATCCAGAGGCCATATGACAGCCTCAGTGGATCCAGGCATAACTGATGGCAGCAGCAGGAAGAGACACTCTGTCCTTCGTAAAAAAAAAAAAAAATCAATGCTCTCCTTAACAATTCAGAAAAGAACTAGTGTTAGGTGCAAGCTCCTGGCAGAATCAAGAAATGACTCAGAGCTGGCACTCTACAGTGCCTTTCCCCCATGGCAAGCATTTGTATTATGAATTGATTCTGTCTCCTTCCACCATTAAGATCTGTAAGCAGGTACCTTGTGAGCCTTCCTCACTAATGTCACCAGGGAACGTCTCCAGATATTGGCTAGTGCTCTGTAACTTTGCCCAGCTCTGCTTATTTCAGGCACTACTGATAAAAGAGCTTCCCTCACCTTTTTTTTTAAGGTCTCTACAGGGACCACTGAGGCTGGTCATCTGACCTGGGGCTGACTCCTCTTGCCTGTGGAAATACCTTACTCCCATCTCTCATGTATGGGCTGCATTTGAGGTCTTACCACAGACATCAGAAGAGTATCTCAACCTAAGCTCTATTTTTCTCATGTCAACTGCACCTGCTAGAAAAGATGTGTCTTCTAAGAAGACAAAAATCACAATCTCTCTTGGTTTACAAATGTCAGCTAGGTAGAATATACATGGTGCAACTGTCTATTACAGCTAGAGTAGGTAATGAGGGCCTTCCAAAACCAGTTAGTGCTGTTGGAAACAGGAGCACTGGTGATCCTGAGCCAGGAGTGACAATAGAATCCTCACTCTAGTTGACAAACTAACAATCGCAACAATAACTACCATTTATTTAGTACTAGTTATGTGCTTGTACCAAGAATAGCTTAGTGGTTATGTGTACATAGCCACACTGGCCCTATATAAAATCAACACACAAAAATCAGTAGAGCTCTA